TCTTACTATAACTATATTCTTTATGTTATTTCTCATGTTGTTGTTGTTGTTGATTATTGTGGTTGTTGATAAATGATGTAATATATTAGTTTAATTTTATTTTGTACTCACTTTTATTGTGCATGTTGACAAATGATGTAATATTTATGAAACTAATGTCTGTAATATAAACAATTTCATGTAATGTTTAATATATTGAAAGTTTATTTCAGTTCGATATTGAAATAATGCTGTCAAAATAATATGCAACATTAATAAATTTTAAAATTTAGAATATATTTTATTGGTTTTTATAATAAATTAAGAAGAATTTTTAACAATATATATATATATATATATATATATATATATATATATATATATATATATATATGTGTATAAATATATTAAATGTTATATTAATTGTATATTAAAATAATGCAATAATTAATTTTTACTATATATTTAATTTTTAATAATATTTTTTTATTGATTTTGGTTACACTTTAACTTTGCCAAACATGTTTTGTTCTCATAATTGTTAGAACGAAACACATTGCCAAACATGTTCTACCATATTTTTGTTCCAAAATTCTCAAAGCAATTGTAACGCGCCAAACATGTTTTGTTCTCATCTCAAAACACCACACTACAAAACACTTATTCTGTCCTAGGCTAAAGCACTACACCACACCACACTACAAACTCCAAACAGGCCCTTAGAGTAGACCTTGGCAGAAAACCATATCTAATAAGATAATAGCATGGGTAGTAGTCATTCATTCATCCTTTATATGAATATTATATATGTTTGAAAACACACATATAGTTGACGGTCATGCACCAATAACATATTTGCATGGTGTAAGTCATTCAATACATGGAATCCTCTCATGTGAAATGGTGATCATCCCACACCAATAAGGTTCACTCTGCTTGTAAGGTAATCTCCACCCTTTAATAGAAGATCCAGGTTTAAGTCAAACAATCAAGTAAGAAAATAATGAATTTCAACATCGATCACAGAGAGAATACGAGTACCGTTAACTAGCTTACAATCCATTTTGACGCTCCTCATAGTACTTACAATCTAAGACGATGTGTGAGATGATTTCCATCCTCCACTGTGCACTGATTGTCCAATGCACAAGAAAATATCTAGATTCAAGTTATTCAATCCTGCAACATCACAAAGAGTATGAGTATCATTAACTAGCTTACAACCTACTTAATTATAAGAGTATCGTTAACTAGCTTAAAACCTACTTTGACACCCTCTATAGTACTTTTAATCTAAAATAACATGTGAGATGGTCTCTATCCTCCGCTTTGCACTAACTGTCTAATGCATAAGAGAATTCTATATTCAAGTCTTTCAATCCAGCAAGAAAACAATGAATTTCAACATCATAGAGAGAATATGAGTATCGTTAACTAGCTTACAGCCTACTTTGACATCCTTTATATTACTTTCAACCTAAGACGGCATGCGAGATGATCTCTATTTTCTACTGTGCACCGACTATCTAATGCACAAAAGAATATCCATATTCAAGTAATTCAATCCAACAATTTAGGGAAAAAAAATTCAATCCAGCAAGAAAACAATGAACTTCAACAAATCATAGAGAGAATACGAGTACTGTTAGTTAGCTTACAACCTATTACTTTTGACACCTCCTATGGTACTGTCAATTTAAGTTGACTTGTGGAATGATCGATCTCCATCTTCCACAGTGCATTGTCCAATGCATAAGAGAAAATCCGGATTCTAATCATTCCATCAAACAAGAAAATAATGAATTTCAACATCAAAAAGAAAATACGAGTACTATTAGCTACTTTGCAACCTACTTTGACACCCCTATAGTACTTTCAATCTTAAGTCGACCATCCACTGCTAGTAAAAACTAATTAATCTCGATCTTCAACAGCTTGTTCTAATACTTCCTTTCATTAGATGCTAAAATTGTGGATTAATTATTTACAATCACAGCTTTAACCATGCCTAGAATTTCATAATTAACCATTGGATCAACATATATGGACCACGGTTGTCATACATGCATTTCTTCAATTGTCCTTTGTTGCTACTAGTACATAAATTTACTCCACATGTTGGACATTTTAGATGAATATCAGTTAATATATTAAGTTAATTAATTTAATCTCTTAGTGAAATTATGGTTGGTGTGTTGATGACAAGTTCTAAACTATGTGCATACTCCACATGTCATCATATAGTTCTTGAGCCCTAATGTTTACTTAAAACAAGACAGGCTGACTTTCCACATAAACATTAGAGAATATAATTAAACACAGTTTTATAGTAGCCACACCCAAACACACACTTAATTTCACACACACACACATATGTATATATATTATATAAGATATGTAATAGAGATTAGAGGAAAAGAACATTTCTGGGAACATGATTAGGTAGGCTGATTAAAACATAATAATTGTTATCTAGGATATATCGCTACATGCATGTTTTTATCCTGTAAAGATTTGTATCATCTCTATATGTATTATATTAAGCAGACCATTGCAAAAATAATATAAAAAAATTAGAAGAAAGTAGAAACTTGTTTGTTGACTTTAAAGTCATAAGTCAGTCAAACAATTTAAATTTGATGAAGCTGTATAATAATGGAAGATTCAAACATGATATTATTCTTAACTTCTACGAACTAGAGTACAACAATAGCCGTGGCATATGCAAGCGACAAGAAACAAAAACAGGAGAGGACGACAAGGGAAACACTATTAATCTCTACATATATATATATATATATATATATATATATATATTAGTATATGTAACACAAGGCTCTCTGAGTTGTGTACAACTTTGTGTAATATATGCAGTGACTTGATTGTATGTACAAATAATCAGAATGGAAATAAATGTGACCAATTGATAATGATGAGATAATATATATATATATATATATATATACACGCCACGTTATAACAACATTGGTTCACAAATTGAAAAAATATTGTGAGTGTTTACGCGATTGTTTGAATTTTTTTTTTTGGTAAAAAAAAAACATCCATTGCGTTTACATTTTAAAAAGAGTTTTCTTAAATTGGTTCAACTAGGCCAACGTGTTAACATCAGTATTTTTTTAATCAATCTCAACATTTTCTTAATTGATTTAAAGGGAATACTTTAATTTCCTTAACCTATATAAACAAGTCAAATTAATTGAAAGTGAAATGAAACAAAATTTTGCTTAATATAGCCGCCCTTAGCAAGTAAGAAAAACTATTTTATGATCTATCTACTCTTTTGGACGTCTCATTTTCTCCCCCATGCATTAAAATAAGCTGTGACCTTATTTAGACTCTCTTTCAAATGATATATATATATATATATATATATATATATATATATATAGCCGTTATATATAATTATAAAAATAAATAAATAAATAAATAAAAACACCCTTTATGTGCATGTCAATGTGTGTGTATATATATGCATATGAACATGTATAGATTGTCAACATTGGTGACCAAATTAACAAGGGGGTTAGCTTAAGGTGGAGGAGGGTCTGTGGTGCATATCAGAGGTGAGGAAGAAAAGCCACACACACACACAAACACACACATTACATGTTCACCATCACATTTTTTTTTTTTAATATTTTTGTAAATTATGATGGTCTATAGATGAAAGTGAAAAATGATTTAATCAAATATTAATTTAATTTAAATTTCTTTGAAATCCTCTGCAAAATTTGCACAGATGAATATTAATTTCATACAGCATTCTGAGCTAAGGTTTATACGATATTCGAAATCTATCCATGCTTGTACTAATTTTTGTGCTTGTTATTAAAAAACCACATGTCACTAACCTATTTAATCTACTTATTTCTTGAATATAAATGAATTAATAGTCTCCAAGTAAGAGGAATTTCATTTTATGATAATCATAATGTGTAGTACTACTACATTTCTTGATATTAAAATTACATGATTTGTTTAATAACTTTATTCTGTATGTTCCTTTTTCCTGAATGTCATTGAAGAACACTGCTCAAAGCTTTACACAAGGCATTTGATTGCAGCCTTTTGATCCGATTCTCCGTTGTTTGAATTTGGAAATTGCTGTTACTCAGGATGAAGAACGCGATTTTGCCTCCGGTTTCATCACAGCTTTATATCTATGGTCAGATTTATTTAAATCTTTAGAAACTTTCTGGTTAATTTCAATCATTTCTTTTTCATTTTTGATTCTTTTTTTTTAACTTCTTTTCTTTTTTTATAACTTTTTCATTTTTGATTCTTGTTAATTTCAGGGAACAATGAGGCAATTTCTGATCATGTCCCACTGCAGATGGACAGCAAATTGTATGTGTTCTGTTCTGTTTTGAGATTTTTTGGGAACTTAATCAAGTGTTTGGTTGTGGGAAGAGTGTTGATCAAGACTAATGATGAGATGAGAAAGTCCCTTGATCAAGCATTTTCTTTCTGGTCTCTGATTCTTTTTCCTTGGAACCAAACACAGGATTTTTGGGAGAATCAAACTTAATCTGGAAACTACATACAAATTAGAATCTAAAAAAGAAGTGTGTAACATATTCCTAAATTCTAGGAGTAAAATAATATTTTTGGGTGAATGTTTTAGAGTTTGAATGTAATAAACACCTAGCAATATAGGATTTTCTTTTCTTTTCTTTTCCTTTCCTCCAAACAACAAGAAGTTGAAGGCTCTGATGCACTATGATAACCTGTCATGTGATGTTGTATTACTGCATTTACCAATTTTGGCAGTGCCTTCAATTTTTTAGCTTCCCTTTCCATATATGTGTGTGTAAATGTATGTATTGCTCAAGTCATTTTTTGTTCTTTTCAATAAGAACATAGAATTGATGATATATATATACATATATATATATATATAATTAAATTCCAAACCTGAAGCATCAGAGTTAAAAATAAGTTAGGTTTATTCTCTTCAAATTCAAATAATGTTTTGTTTGATTTTCTTTGAACAGAAATGTCTATGTCAACAATTTTTGCATGGATTCAGAAGTGTTATACAACAACAATGAAGGCCAGTTTGGAGTTGGAGGGATTGCTTTTCCTTTTCAATCACCAATTGATTATCAATCAGGTTCCATCAATCTCTCTCTATCTGTCATTAATTTTGTAAAATATTTCTACCCATATTGGCCTAATTTTGTTCACTTTTTCTTCAACTACTCTTGCTGATATATATAAATATATATATATACACACACATACACACACACTTGCATATATTTCAATTTTGATCAGGACCTTCCTCCTCAATGACAATCAAAAGACTAGATTGCCCTTTTCTAGTAGGGGGTTATCCAACTATCACCACATCCACCTATGAGAGTTTTTCTGATCAGCAGCCATTGTCCTTCAGCAAGAAGCTTTCAGTCCCGCAGCTTGAAACTGTATGTAGATTCTCTCTCTCTCTCTCACACACACACACATACATAACTCATAAATTAACTTAAAGTTTATTCGCATATGAGATCATGAGTCCGAATCTTTTACAGTACAACGCGTTTGCTCTATTGCAATGGACGATCTGAATCACTCACACGTGTGACTATGTTATACGTGTGAATAATTCCAACCATCCACTTATTAAATTACGTGTGTTTTACTAGAAGATGATTCGAACACCTTTTTAATATTATTTTCAGCATATTTCTGCATCCAAGTCTTTTTGTTTCACAGCTTGAATCTGTATGTAGATTTTGTCTCTCTCACACACATATAATATAACCCATAAATTAACTTAAAGTTCCGATCCTCTATAATATAACACGTTTGCTCTATTGCAATGAACGACCTGAATTACTCACACGTATGACTATGTTATACGTACGAATAATTCGAACCGTTGACTTATAATAACTTATTACATTACGCCTGCTGTGTTCTAGAAGAGAATTCAATCACATTTTAAATGTAATTTTCAGCTTATTTGTACATCAATTGGTTCCATTAAATGTATTTAGACCACAAAGTCATAGAAATCAGGTAATCACTATGCTTAGAGAAACTGGTGATTGAGACCGCTGTGCCAACTCTCAAGGGAGCGCCAAGTGGCTTGTCCCCATCACTTGGCTTGTTTTTCTCAAATAAACCTCTAAATTTATGGGAAAATATATGTGACAGGTGACCCACATGACCATTTGATGTGCTGGGCATGATATATATATATATATATATATATAAATATGATTCGTTTGTGACCATTATATTAATTATTGATTACAATGATATAAGGGCTGTCTAATCCAGTATTTGTTGCCGGAAATGATAATTATAGTCGCATTACATTAATCAGACATTAATCTTTGAGTCCGTAAAACCCTATCGTGAGAGTCACAAGATCAAGAGTTGCAGTTATGTAATCACGACTACACATAAGAGTTCTCGTTTTAAAGCCCAAGTCTTCTAAAACTTCACAGGATCAAGAGCTACTGTTGTATGTATGGTCATGACTGCACATAACAGAGTTATTTTTTTTAAAGGTCGTGTCATCTAAAACTCGTTAAATTTTCTTTCAGAATACTCCAGCAATACAAAGTTCAAGGAAACGCCCCATTGATGTTAATCGTGATTTCGAACCAGAAATGAGATTCAATAATGGGGTCGGCAATAAGCAACCAGTTTTGATGGAGTGGGCAACAAACAAAAAGAAGACTGCGTGCTCAGAGAAGCAATGGCAAGTCGAGGAAGAAGAACAAAGGGAGATCCAAAGACCAAGATCAGTATGTGTTTTTTCAACTTTACTTTTATTTATTTTCTTTTCTTTTTTCCATCACTTTCCTTGATAAATCAAACATGCTCACCATCCCTCCCAACTCATTTCAATTTCGAGTTTCTTTGATTGAACCCAGTTCTAAAACTAGACGCTCAGTAGAGTTTGGTAGCTAAATAAGCAAATCAGCAGTTTCGATAATGAAATTTCAACTAAATCAATTCGGTATTCTCAAACACAACATTAATTCAAATTTAAAATTCTCCCTTTACTCTGAAGTTCTTTTTTTCATTCTTTCTTCTCGTGATTGCAGGTTCCCATGAGGAGAAGCCAAAAGGTAAGTGACAGGATCACCTCTCTTCAGAAGCTAGTTTCTCCTTATGGCAAGGTCAGCATCTCCACCAAAGTTAGGGTTTATTATAGGAAAAAGCTATTGTCAAAATTATTTTGTTATGGAAATGGAAGTAGTTTAATTGTTTTAGCCAATGAAATTGGGAATTTGAATTTATTGCAGACTGACACAGCTTCAGTACTTCAAGAGGCTTCCATTTCTATCAAGATACTTCAGGATCAAATTCAGGTACACAGCTTCACATCACCTTCCCATACATGTTATTAGTAATAAATTGTCATAAAAATAAAAAATAAAAAGCCCCAAAAAAACTGAAATCAAAGTTCCTCTGCTGTGAAAGTTTACTTCTTGGATTAAAATACAAAGCATCAATAATTCACTAAAGATTGTTCTTCATTTATGGGTTATTAACAGAATTTAATTCAGACGTATATCGGCACAAAGTCTCCGTATTCACAGGTAGAATTCAAGATGCTCATTTGCTTGATTCTGCATATACAACTATGAGGTTTCTTCTTCTCATCATTTTCTATAAACTGGATTTGTTCACAGGAAACAGGAGAGACACAACTTGACCTACGCAGCAGAGGGCTTTGCTTGGTTCCGGTATCATTTACGCAGAAATTGACAAAGGAATGACCCAGTTGATATCAGTCTGCATCAATGAAAACTTTCATACCCACAAACTTACAATATCAAAAATCTTTACTAATTAGCTTGATATCAGAATACTACTCAAATTTCTTCTTCTTTTTTTTTTCTTTTTTTTTTTTTTCTTTTTTTTGTTTCCATCCATTACAGATGCAAAAAATGGGGGAAGAGTTGAAAAATGCAAATTATGAAAGGATATGAGATGACTGACGCCAGTGTCGTGAAGTATTTTCTCAAGTCAAGTTCGCAAATTAAAATCACTATTATAGAAATAACATGCCAAATCATATATATCCAGACAATGAATTATCATGTTAAAATAAAATAAATATGAAATTAAACCAAAATTCTAATATGAGTACTGCTAAGCAAATATGTTGTTCAACCACAAAAACAGTAAACAGAAACAAGAAAGGTTAAAAATCTACTAGAAGTTCCAGTACAACCTCAAATTTTGCCCTCGTGCTACCTCCAATCTTTCATTAGTATCAGCAGTGTTTGGAACAATCGGCGCGCATATCAGGTTCAGATCTCAGCCTGTAAAACCACAAGGCAAGCAAAATAATTGCACCTTTACAGAATAGGTATATATAAGACTATAGGCAGCAAAAATTAACAAATGATCACAACCCAATACACGAACATGCTTTGGTATCTCCTATGACCTATCTCACATTTGAAGTTTCCAAACAAAAGATAAATAAAGACGTGCAGTACAGTAATATATATACATACGTGTGTGTGCAGCTATAGATATAAACCAGTAAAAATTAAACCAAGTACATACGTCTCAAGGAAACTAAGTATAATGCTGTAGCCAAATAGAACCAATGTATTGGTTCATTCAGTTTCTCAAACTAACCTATAAATGGTTATAATTTCTAATGCGAACCCGTTCATCATAATGGATATGTACCTTCAAATGGCAAGTAAGATATGATGGAGCCATTCAATTACAATGAGACATTAGAACCCACCCTACAGTGTAATACTTGCAAGCATCTGCCAAATTCATAAATTTATAAATCACGCTTCTCGTAGAAAGACCATTATGCCACACAGGAATGGGCAAGTTGAAGATATTTTAATCCATTCATTTAGCTCTATCCTTTATATCTTTCTTTTTCCTAATTTCCATCTTCATGACTCAAAACACTAATATGGATCAGATGATTGGACCAAGCTGAGCAAAGTAATGGTTAGCTCAGGTTCGCTTGGTTTGATTCACAGCAATTACTGGCTATAAGATTTCAATTAAGCCCCAACGATGAGCAAAAAAATTGTGAAAATTTTGACACAGAGATAAAGAAAGGTACTTCTCTATGGATTAGAGAGAATTGGGAACCAATTTGAATGAGAAAAAGAAGGAAAAAATGCTAGTACTAGATGAGTACAAGCTCATGCGACTTAAATAACAGAGCAAGTGGAATAATTCGGAAGGAAAATTTTCTTCTACAAATTATCCTCATTTTAAAAGTATACTTTATTTTAAAATTTTAATCATGGATTTACATTTACTGCAATTGAGCCAGCTTGATCATCACTTTAAAAAAAAATTGAAAAAGAAAATTTAGATGAATAATCGATGTTGGAAATAAACCAAGCTATTCCTGAACAGCTCGGACTCAGCTCGTTAAGCAAATGAGCCGAGCTCGAGCACAATTTCTAGGCTCATTTAGTAAACGAACTGATCCTGAACAATATTGGATTTGGTTCGTGTAGGCTCGTATATGTTCGTGATCGTGAACATAACTTGTATAGAGCTCGTGAGCACATTCATAAACATAGGCTTCTATAGGTTGTTTATGAACAAGCCAAAATGATCTTGAACATGAGCTCAATCGAGCACGAATGACTTCTGTTTTCAAATGAGCCGAGCCCCAGCTTTGCTTTTAGAGCTCCTTACAATCCCAAGCCGAGCCCGAACTGAGCCCACGAACGAATGAGCATACCCTGAACAGATTCAAGCTCCTCTGAACAGATTCAAGCTCCTCGGCTCGGTTCATTTGCAGCCCTACTGTTAAGTTTATAGCATCCATTAAGAGAATACTTACTCTTTCACTACAGAATATCAAGTACCAAAAAATGGACAGACTAATTATAATCATCAAACTCTCTGGTTCTGGGATTCCACAAAGACACATGATGCAAAATAAGGCTACTTTTGAGGCCACGCCAATCCATAAAAGAGATCCCAATCGAAGCCGCTTCAAAAAACAAAAAAGAGCAGCACCACCAAAAAAAAAGTGATAATAGTAAAAAGACTAGAAGCACACCCCCCAAAAAATAAAACATAATTATAATGATGATGATGATGATAAATGAAAACAGATGTAGGGATTTCTTATTGCACTCCCCCTCTGGTATTCTTGCATTCGGTACCCTATTTCCGCTCCCCTTCTTTATTTGTCCACTCTACTTTATTTTAGTCTTCTCGTTTTTGGAGCACAAGACACATCGCGGAGAAGATGACTGAACATCTCAAGATCGTGCAGGTTTCCACATAGATCCACACTATTGAAAAACAAATATATGCACATCATACAGGAACCATTGCAGTGAAAAAATGTCTTTTGCCAAGGTTACCTGTTTAAAATGAAAGCAATACTTTAAGTCGCCAAGAGAAAGCCTCTGAATGCAGCAGTTCTTTTCTCATCTTTTGACCGTAATGCTCCAAAGAATGTGCATGCTCATCTATGCTGTCACTGCCCATAGCATCTTCAGCTAGTTTTACTGCTGCTGTTTGACACAATTGAAAGTTTTCTCCAATACGTTGCAACTTCCTTGCAATATCTTCATTGCCGAGCATTACAAGGGAAACCAACAATAATTTAAGCTCATGCTTTGCTCCAGCAGTCAGAGACATCCCTTTCAAATGCTCTACCAAAGCCATCTCCTCGTCCGGGCTATATGATAGATTATTATACCATCAATGAGAACTGATAGGAAACTCGAATAACAGAACAAAGATGACTAAAATTTCAATGACCAATATACCTGCCAGCACGGATTTTCCCTTTATTTCGCTGACGCTTTGTGTTTCTTGCTTTACTAGAGGTACATGAGCTGATTGAAGCAGCAGAACCCTTTCTTGTCCTGGTCATAAAAAATAATAATAAATAGAGGTAATAAAAAATAAGAATAATTCACTTGAGGCATTCTAAATAATAAAAGCAGCAGAGCGCTTTCTTGTCCTGCTCATAATAAAATATTAATAATAATAAATAATTCACTTGAGGCATTCTGAATAATAAGAGAAATAAATGTTCAAATGCATGTAGAACCAACTGGATGGCCAAGTGTGAGTACCAATAAAGAGAAAAACCTTTTTCCTGAGTATTGACATTTCTTTTCTTTTTCCTTTTTTTTTTTTTCCAAATTTCATGGGGGGCCTAAGGAGGATAATATATTAAACTCAATAAGCTACAAAACTCATCTAACTACACATTTTTCTTTCCATGAAGCTCCATTTCTGTCCATTACTACCTATTGTATCACAAGCTATCAAGCCATCTCTTTCATTATTGCCTGAACCCTCAAGTTTTTTACTTTCCCTATTGTCTGGTACAGCACCTTCAAAGTTCAAACTAGATTGAATCATTCCATACCAAATAGTTGAGAAAAGGTTTAGTTGAGATGAATTGAGTTGAAGAAAATCAGCTGTATCCCCAACACCAGTTGCTCTAGTGAAGCATAATATAAGAAATGCAATACACATTTAAAAGACATACCCTGTGGTGTAAGCACTCATTCCGCTGAAACTACTGCTAGTTTCTGAAGCAGTGTCATCATCAAGTTCATTTATCCTCTCATCTGACTGGAGCTTTGCAGCAAGTAATAATCTTCGCTGTCGAACTGCTAGGTAGCGGGCCAAGTACTTGCCTACTTTCTCCAACCCTTCCTCATATTCACCAATCAATGTGCCAGCACATTCAATAGATGCATTCTTCACTTCTGAGATTAAATCATCTCTCCTGTGCAAAAAAGCAATCCTCAGAGCCTCTTCCCAATCTCTTGCACTCACCAATAGATTGATCCCATTATTAACATCTCTGCAGTACTCCAAGGCAATTTTGGCAGCTTCCCCTGGTTTACCAATGGCTTGTAGTTCTTCACAGAGCTCATGTGCCAGTTGCAAAATCTCATCTTTTCCCAGTTTAATGAGACCAGCAACTGTCAGCACCTCTCTCCAATTACCACAGGCACGATAAGCCTTCAAAGCTTTTTCCAAACTAGAACAACATATGTAAGTTGTAGCAGCATCCTCAAAGCATTTTATGTTGCTAAGATGATCTCCCCACGCCTCAAGGACTTGCCTCTTCTTAGCAGGATCTGTGATCAGTTGAAGTCCCAGGGGAAATAGTTCAGGGTTATTCTTCATGAGGTTCATCCAATCTGCATGATAAGCATCTCCAGCCAAAACAATGTGTTTGAGTGCATTCTCATACCTTTGCAGTTTAAGGTCAATATTATATTGCATCAATAATGTTGGCATACGTTCAAGTTCCTGCAGAAACGGAAGAAATTCCTTTGGGTCCCGTTGTGAGTTCAATGCCACAATAGCTGCAAGGTTCAAATCATAAAGACCTAGAGCAGCATCATAAACGGCCTCGGAATCAGATAACCACAAGAGATGCTTCAAAGCTTCCTCAGCAGAAGGGTAAGATTTTCTTCTTGGGTCATCCGATTCTAACAGTTCCATTTCCCGAATAACTTTAATTCTCTCCAAAGCTTCTTCAAGAGCTGGGGGGTCACTTCGAGCTAGTGTGGTCAAAATGCAAAGCTCTCTTGCAGGACTTTCTACTACTTGCTCCTCGAGAGCTTTCTTTATGGCCAGCAGCACAGAACAGACTTTGCTATTAGGATTAGAACTCTTGAAATCTTTGGCTTCAACAACTTTGGCGTCCCTTGGGGAGGTTAAATAAGTATAGTTTTTGTACAGAGTCTCCATGATATTTTCATTCTTTATGGAACAAACAAACTCAGTTATGTAATTCAGATTGTTTACTTCTTTGACAAACTCTGTAGCTGATTGAAGAAAGGCTTGCCAACCACAATGGTCAACAATAACATTGAAATCTATCCTGTGCCGTCTTACCATGAGCAGTGCATCTTTGAAACGCCCTTGAACCAAAGCATTAATAATTGCGGTCAGGACCAACTTCCTTGGATAGATGCATTCTAGATTTCCACGAGTTGTTTGTAGAATAGTAGCTGCTTCGTCTCCATGGAGGACCCCTACAACTTTGGCACCCCTTTCCCATATATCAATGTATTTAATTGTTTCTTCTTCTTTCCTCTTCTTGATAACAGGCATGAAGTTCTGGTATTGATACTGTACTTGTCCATGCAAAATATCACCAATATCAACAACAAAAAGCAAATCCTGTTTAGTTGTAAGAATCAAATGTGTAATCACTACGTCGGCAGAATTTGAGTAAAATATGAAACTGCTGCAGTTGTTGCATAATATCCTTTCGCTAACATGCAGCCTTCTACTGTCATCGAGCCCAAAAAGCAAAGGCTTTGACAGCCCACAGTCTCTAACAGGAACAGCACTCATCCATGGGCAAGAGGATGAGAATCCCATATCATCACATATTTGGAGATCAGGCTCAGGAGGTCCCCCCATGATGCCTAACTTCGACGTATACTCAAAAACTTTTCCACCATCAAACTGAATAAACGCTGAACATCTTTTAGCAGGGTTAGGAACAATACCAATTACCAGCCCTTCTAGAGAGGTCTGATTGGAAATTGTTGCTTGCCAGCCTGAGCTGGTCACTGAACCAAGGATGCGATCCTCAGAACACACTAGGTCAATTTCCTGCAAGTAATATCCAGGGGGCCCATCCTTACTGGATGAGGTTTCCAGAGAGCAGCCACTATGACTCGAACCAGAAATGCTGAGAAGCACATTTGAATCCAACCATATAAGATGTACAAAGGATCCAAGTGTTGTTTCAGAATATGAAGCCTCAACAATGAATTCTTTGCCTTCTAGGTCTTCCCAAGTTTCAAGTGCAGGAAGCTCTACAACACACAAACAGCCATCTGACAAAGATGCAACCAAACGGTTCTTAGAACTCCTGGAACAGAAAGCCATATCCCGAATAGCACTGGGAAATTTTATCTTGAATAAATACATAGGTGGTGGGATTAGGGACAGGGAAAGGGGGGTTACTAGTATTTTGGAGTCATCAATGACTAGTGCAATTGAGTTCTCAGTGACAGCTGAAATCCAGATAAAGTTGTAGATTGTGATCTGGCCACCAAGAGTCCAGCAAATTAATTGCAGTGGCTTTGTTGGATCCCACATGAATCTAACTTCATCCTGCCTCAAGTATTTAATTTCTTGTTTCAAGTACCAATGATTGTTGCTGAAGAACCAGATCTTTAGGGAGTCATATCTTTCACATCTGACCAAAGTTGCAAGAAGATCTGAATTACAGTTCCACCTTAGAAGCTCAATGGTTGCCTCCGTTCCCTCATTGACACTAAATGAGCTTCTTTCCAACCCATTTCTCTCAAAGAAAACTATTGATGGACATATATTTTCAGCCTTTTGGTCATAAACAGCTGCAATTTTTGCTCCACTGGGCATCCATTCCAAAACTGCTCCCATGAGAGCTTTTGGTTCTGAAACAGCATGAAGCGCCCCTGAATCCCTTTCCCAAATTTTAAGCTTCTTGAGCAGGGAAACAGAATCATGCACCCCACTTAAGGTCACAAAGTATTTCCCATCACCTCGCCAAGAAATGGAATACTCAGATGAATAATTGGAAGAAGCTGGTTCACCTGAAACCAAAGTGTCAAGTCAAAGAATCATTCAACCATATCATAGACTAGAGACACATTCCCCATTATAAAATTTATGATAAATGAAAATTTGAAGAAGAATAAAATTTATACTTTCTTATATTGAAATTAGCTTAAAGAAGTGCTGGATATTCAATGTTACTTTACAAAATTATGTCCTCAGAGTTTATTGATCTGGCATAAATTACATAATTACATTCAACATCAATGAAACCAATTTTTTTGAAGGATTAACATCTAAGGTGCTTGGCCTCTATTATATTATCAATCTTGTAATCAAATTACGTTCCACAGGTTATAAGACCTATCAATTAGATTTGTTCCTTTTCCCAAATGAACAGCCAACTGTCATTTCAAATTCATATTAAAAATTATTTTCTGAAATTGAGAAACATTATTGCGTGATCTGATTAGACCAGAGTTCAATGCAGCCATGTCTTATTCTCTGTAGTGTTGGTGTTCCGTTAAATTTTGCTTTACTGTGTTACTGTTTACAATATGAAACCATTTCTTTTTATCAATTGTTTTCAACTTATAGTGAAGAAATCATAGCATACCTTTTTCAGTTAGATTGGGCCCTCTTATTTTCTTTGTTTAGGGTTGGGAAAAATAAATAATAAATTGTTTTGTATTTTCCACTTCATGTAGCATACAAAAAATTGATTAAATAAATATTAAATGAGAGATGTCTTGTAATTGAAAAGAATGGAAAAAGGACCTTTAGCCCAATGGTATAATCTCCATCCTCAAAAAAAAAAAAAAGGGAACGGTAAAGGAGAATTCATTTAGCCGACCCCATTCATATGGGTTTAAGGCAAGGACGATGATGATGTAGCATACAAAAAATTTATGTGGGCCGGAGCACAAATGAAGTGGTTCTCTTTTTTATTTTTTTCCATAAGAAAATAACTAGCCAAAACTGCAAATATAAATAAAAGAGCATTTATAATTAGAAAATATAAAAGCAAAAGAATGTTGGAAAGAAGTCCTTACGTACGTCAACATCTTCAGGAAGATCCTCAAGAGCCATCTCATATAACAAATCCCAATCATGAGTCATTACCAGTATCTGACCAAAACCAGTAATTACACCAAGCAGATCACCATCTGGACTAGGTGAAATGCACTTAACACCACCTTCCACTCTACCAACAGTTTCTGTTGCATTATCATCAACGGTATACAGTAATAGTAATCCACTAGAAGTTCCCACGATCAGCGCTTCTTTCTCCATGAGATAATCCATAGAAGTAATGAAATCTCCAGGTTCTAAATTGACAGACTCGATTGCCACACATGAAGAAGTTTTGGTCCATGCTCTTTCATTCTGGCACATACATAATTAGTGTTAGGAAAACAACCGTGTGTAGTAACATAAGGGAAAAGACAATCTGTATAATAACATAAGAAATAATCGTATTATGAACAGTATCTGTAGTGAAAGAATTCTTAAACTATCTCCATGTTCAGTACATTATATCTGAGTTCTTTATCAAGTACATAAATCTCCGCTTAATCTTGCGACACCGATGCTCCGAATTTATGTAAGAGAATCCTGAATACATTTCCTATGTTTAATGCAAAGGCGCGTATCAACCACATGCCATTCTAGAACACTGTCTGAGACATACTTTGAAACAAACAGATAACTGCATAGACTGCATAGTGGATTACCAGTGTTAACATCACTTCCCTCTAGTCTAATTTGTCTAATTTAGTTAACTGACCTCAACTCTTGACCACTGCCAATGGGAAAACATATATTTGAAGCTAAAAATTGAACTGATAGGACCCACATGGAGAAAGAAGCCCTTGCAAAACCCTTCTGGTAAAACCCAGTTTGAATTGCAACTAAAGAAATCAAATCTAGCAAAATCAGCCATTAAAAAATTTGCATTCTCTATTAGCTGGTACAGTTTATGCCACAGCTACTACTAATTACTCGTCAATTTCACAATTGATTCATCAGAATACTAACATGCGCTCACATATATTATCAAGTAGTACCTCAGAAATCAGAACCAAATAAACCAGTTGTGAGGTTTGATTTGGGTTTCAAATCCGATTTCATAGTCAATCTAATTGATTTATTTAATATTCGAAATATTTATTATAAAATGGAAATGAAAATTTAGGAACTTACATGGGATGATGGAAGGTGAGTGGTATATATACAATTGGTTGAAGAAGCGAAGAACAAGCGGTTTCGCTCGATATCGATTGCTGCGAATCGAAGGACCTCTTCCTTTGAGAGCAACTCGATGTTTGATGAGAACTCCCATGATTGCTTCAGATTCTTCATCTCCAACTGAGCAAAATGCACGAAAATACTCGAAGAATAACTGCCAAATAGAGAGAGAAGATAGGGGGTAGAGAGAGTCGTGCCCTAGCTTTCTCGGAGGGTTTTGAGGGTTTAACAGTAATGAAGTTAACGTAAGTGACTTACCTTGAGTCCACCATATATTTTGTTTTTAAATAGAAGGAATTATAATAAAATGAAAGGAAAGAAAAAGGAAGTGAAACAATGCTTCACCCTTCTTTATCTATCCTTCAAAAAATAAAAAATAAATGAGAAAAATAAATAATAAATAATATATACTACTCCATCCCTCCCAAAATTAAATAAGTGTCTTATCTGAATTTTAAGTTTTTAAGATAAAGTGCAAAAAATCCAATTGAACTATGTTTTAATTTGTAAATAACTCCTTGAACTATATTTTATGCATAAAACCACCCCTAAGCTGTCTCATTTTGTTGCAACATACCCCAAAGACTATACTATATTTCATTAAATGACCATAATGCCCCTTCTTATTGAATTATATTTAATATATATATTTTTTTATCTAAATAAATTATGAAAAAATTCAAACTAATTTGATGAGATATTTTTCATTAAATTTGCATAAATTTACCTTTAATTTTTTTAATTAATTACTTAAATAAAAAAATTTAGTAGAAATTTTTTTAAAAATTAATTAATTTTTTAATTTTTAATGAGTATATTACATGAAAAGAAGGTATTTTTTTCAAAAGTATTTTATTAATTTTTCATCAATATACTGTATGAAAAAAATGATATTTTTTTTACGAAAAAAATGTTTATATTGGTTATAATACTTTTTATTATAAATAATAAAGTTTTAATAATAAGTTAATCAATTTAGAAAATGGTAGTTACAAATCTATTTATCTATTTTTTTTTTCATTTTTATGATAAATTGATAGTAAAAATAAAATTAAGGTAAATAGTATAATTAATATTTACATAAGAGAAAAGATAATAAAAATAATTTAATAAGAAATAGAAATTTTAATGAGAAAGGGTAAAATAGTCTTTGTGATGGATTTGTTCTTAATTGCAACAAATCAATTGTTCATGAGGCAGTTTTTAGTTCAAGGAGGTTATTTGCAAAAGGGCAATAATTTAGGGGGGTTTGTGGCACTTAACCCTAAATTTTATTAATTTTGTATTATATTAATACTTAATGAATTACAAAATTTATCCTTATTGAATCTTAGTGACGTGATAATTTACTTTTTATATAGGTTCAATGCTGGTAATATTACAAAAAAAAAAAAAAAAAAAAAAAGAAAAAGAAAAAAAATGTATATTGACTTTGACAAGGGAATAGTAATTATCATATTGTCTTTTTTTATAATACAAAAGTGTTGTTGATAAAATTGACAATTAAATGTTGAAAATTTTATAACTTAAAATATAACTGTTGAAATTTTTAAGTGATAATTAAAAAATAAATGATTTTTGATATTTTTTAAATTTTTTTTAGTGATATTCAAATTGCATAACACTCTTAATTAGATAAGTGCTTAATCCGTTCAGAATTAAACACGGGATTGAATTACCAAACACCACTAATTGAATTTTATTCTCCATCACTTACAAAAATTAAACAATCTATCTTTCTTCTTATCTTTTTCTTTTATTATTTTATTTTATTTTTGGGTTCTTTTCTTTTTTTCTTTTTTTCTTTTTCTTTTTCTCTTCATAAACTTTACAAACATGATCGAAGAACCAGCGGCATTTTTTTTTTTTTTTTATGTACGTAAAAATTAAAAGGAAAGGGACATTCAGAAAATCGATTTTCGTAATTAAGATGCAACACGAAACTGATATGGTGACGAAGGAAAATAAGAGGAATATTCGAACTGACTTCCTCACAAGCAAGGAACTACTATCATTTTTATTTTTCTTCCCACTATTTAATTATCCAAATATGAGAGGTAGTTAATACTTTTTCATTATTATTTTTTTTTTTCTATTGTGTTGCAAGTGGTGTTATTCTTCCTTTCCTCCTCCAACAATTGTCCGAACAGAAATTTGATACACTAGATCCACTTCAAATGACATTTCTATTTTTATATTCACGCTTTAATTATCCAAACATGGGAAATAGTTCTCTCCTTTCTATCATCTTGTAACTGATGTTATTTTTCTTTTCCTTCCCCTGACAATTATCCACACACAATTTTGATGCACTAGTCCAAGTTATATCAAAATCCACTTCAAATGGCCAAAGTAAATTAAAAATATTTTCTTTCACTACAAACTGAATCACATTTCCAAATTACTATCCTCTACCCTAACAAGCAGTCCACAAAAAAATAATAATAATAATAAAATAAATTAAAAAATCTCTTTAAGAATGAATATGAACTAAGCTCGAAAGAAAAACAAAGATGAAAAGAGTGCAGAAAGTAACACACAGGAAACTTACTGTCTGTGCGCGCGCGTGTGCGTGTGTTAAACAAGATTAGTAGTTTCTTCTTTTCTTCAATGCTACTTTGTTATACTAACACATACAAATTAGGTTCAGCATCTGTAATAAATTTTTGCTGTCTATCTTTCTAAGTACAGAACTCACTCTGAATTTTGCACTAGAAAAGAAAACACATGAAAAAAACATATATAGCTCTCTTCCTACTTGAGAGAACAATTCTCTACAAGTTCTCCAGAAGCACTCCACAAAAAACCTCTATTTCTCTTTTGCTTTTTGTTTGACAGACAAATCTATCAACAGTATTGTTATGTATACTCCTGAGGTTCCTATTTTGACATGACATCAGCACTCATGATCCTCCTATCCACCCAAAATTGTCTAGACAAGGATATACAGTTTAATTTGGTATCATCTACAATTGAGCTTTGGCCTTAAACTCCTAAATCACTTCTAATCAAGAGGACATCAAATATGCATCAGTTGAACACCCAATGCATACCAACCAGTAATCTTCATTACTTGAGATCACAATCAAGCTCAATCCCCACCTCTCTTGCAGCTTCTATGACTGCATTCATATTTCCAGTAGCCCTAGACAAATCGAGATAGGATTTCCACAGCATAATGGAGAATGGGAATACAGATAAAGCTCTCTTATGGAAGCCCTCGGTGATGGACTGAATATCTATAAGACTGCGTAGAATATAAGCTGCTTCTACCCACACAAACTCTGGTGCAACTGGAACAGCCTGAAATAGTGAATTGACCAAAAGTGAGCTTGCCCAGAACGAAATACCGGTAGAAGCTACATCGGAAGAATTAGAGCCTCTGTTCAGTAGCTTGCAGACAGATATTGCAAGCTGATAGTTGGACGGCATAATATCCATGATGGCTTCAACCAAATCCACGAGTTGCTTTAGATTACTGGACCCTTGGGGTAAGAGAGATGGGCCATACCAGGATTCAAGAACCAAGTTCAGCAGTGAAAAGTCAGATGACACTGGACTCCAAATCTTGCTAATTAGATGTTGGACAGGTTTCTTGGTGCTCTGAATGAACATTCTAGACAATGGTTCGGAGGCATGAAAAACCCTAGCATCAACCAGATAACTTTTAACGATCTTCAATATTCCACTTCTGGGAGCATCCATCTTACCTTGTGAACCATCCATAAGCAAAAACGCAGCATGCTCTCTCACACAATGTTTATAGTACTCAGGACCAGCAATAGCAGCAGCCTTCAATGCCCTATCAATGGCTTTACGACTTTCAAAGCGATTGTCATTCAACAATTTATAGAGACAGAAATTAAGAAGAGCAAACAAAATATCTATTTGATTAGAATTAGAAATCCAACTGTGAGGATCTGATGCTTCAGCTGATTCTGGCGTGCTGAGGAAGTTCTCACCGTACATGGTATTCAAAAGTTGATTTTGAGAATATTGAACTTCCCAAACAGAATGAAACCAGCGGTCCAGGAGTTCTTTCGCAAAATCAAACCTCCCATTCTGGAGAGCACACTCAGCATACTGGTTCCAGATACACTGAACTCCAGGGACTTCTTCTGGCCAGTTAATAAGAGCCTCTTCAAACCCTACAAAACTCAAATCACCAAAATCATGATCATGTGCTCGTGCTGACATCAAGACAAGTTCCAAGCAAGATGGATACAGTTTGGTGTATTTGTCCAACAAGTTTCGACCACATTCTAGGCCTTCAAGCACTGTTATACACCTAATGTGATTGACAGCAAACAGGTGTGCCGCTTTAAGAGTAGTTTCACTTTTAAGTGATTCCCCATCAATGTGCAGCGCCAGAAAATCTACTGCCATTTCCATCAGCGTAACTGCATGTTGTTTCTCATCAGTTGTTAAACGAGTGAAAGGCCACTCTAGTGCAGAAAGTTCTTTTTCACATTCAAATAATTCAAGTATCGCATTAGGGAGTTTCCTGTAGATTGCGACGTACACACAACATATCCAGAAGATACATTTGTCAGAAATCGTTAGACATGGAAGGATATCAGAAAGCAATAGAGGGCCAGGATTATCAGAACTTTTTGTAGTAGGGAACAGCCCATAGGTTTTTTCGGCGGCCTTGCCAATGTTCCCGGAAATGCAAAAACAATTCATCATCTGCAAAAAAATGTCCAGGATGCATGCACTAACATGCAATGGGTCCCTGTCAGAAGAAGATGCATGACGGCTAAGCGCTGAGAGAGCATTATCATATGCAACCAATCGATCAGAAAGTTGCATCCGACTATTGATGTACATAAGCCAGAGCTCATAAGATCCTTTGTTCTTTTCAACCTGAAGAACAGAATAAAACTGTTTACAGTTTATACACTTAATTCTCAAAATTACATTAAAACAGAGCAATGTAGACTAGACGAATCTTTTATTATTTACATTTTATTCCATGTATAATTCTCATTATGCAGATAAGGAGGACTTGTATGAGATGAAAATCTCAGGTCTGGTTATAGAATGTTTTTAAATTGAAAGCCGAATGTACTAGATGTCAGCTCAATGGGAAGGAAATGAAGTGGATTTTACTGCAGTTCAAAATTTTCTTTCAGCAGGGAAAAAACTAATTCCAAAGTATACCATGATCAAGATTCACAATGTAATACGAAAGAAAAAAGTATGATTGCAGTCATCAATATATTGCAGCAAATAGACAGTCACAGAAATTGTCAGATGTATAATGTGGATTGTCCAGTCTATTCTAAATTACCAAGGCCTGTGGCCTAGTGGTATCTCCTCTCCTCACCTTTCAGATATAAGGTGTTATTTAATTGTCCCTTTTTTTTTTTTTTGCCCTTAAATGGCAAGACAAGGACACAGAGCACCAAGAACATTGATCCACAATGTCATTAATCTCAAATAAGAAAATAAAATAAAAAATCAGGAAGATTCAACAGGTGCATATACCGACACAATCATTAAAGATTTTGACATGAAGATCAATTAAATAACAGCTTAGTGCAGATATGGGTCTCTAAGGTTTTGTCAGAGTCCACATAATGTTGAAAACAACATAGTATTAGTTTAAATAATAAGACACATAAGCATACCGCATGATAGAACAAGTCATCCTTTCCAATTGGCTTTGCATTGCTATAGTAAATATGCAAATAAACAATCCAGATAGCTGCAGATGTTGGATCAGCTACAACAGCTCGACCAAGCACTTTAAGAGCCTACACATTTCCAAAATATGAATAAGATGACATGTACAAAAATTTCTGAACATAATCACAACGCTACTGGTCAATAATCTCTGGTCAAGTAATAACTTTACCTCTGATTTACCCCTTTTTTTATTGACCTCCTGATTCAGAGTAAGGAGAGCCATCTCTAGGGATTGATCATTGTCAACCACATATTGACCCGATTGACTCTAAAGTAAATATGCAAATAGGAAAGTTAGAGCAAATAAGAGCACATTCCTAAAAGACAAGAAGACAATTATTTGTCTGTAATATGAAACAAGGAATTTTTACAGGACTAAAAGATGTATCGTAGCGAAGAGAAGTATTAAATCTTCCAAATCAAAGAACAAAGAGATAACAATAGGTCAAATCAATGACATGGAACCATATAATAAATAATAATAATAACTTGTAAGCAAGAATAATATTCGAATTGATGAAGCTCTCATATCAAAACATAACAAGTAAACAATTTTTTATTTTTTTATTTTTAACAAATCTAGGGAATATTAATTAGCAGGTCGACGAAATTTCCAAATCACTTGTGTATTAGCTGCACCCAAGGGGTTGGCTCAAGTGGGTAAGTCACTTGCCCTGGTGCCTCTTAGGTGCAAACAATTCCTTGGAGAGGGGGGTGTGTGAGTACCAACTATGGGAAAAAAAAAAAAAAAAGGTTGAAAATCCATGACTTCAATTAATTCTAAAGAATTAAGAGAGAGGGAAAATGAATAGACAGCACTCAACAAATCTAACAGAAAAAAGACATGATTGCCAGGGAAAAAGTTGAGAACACATGTCAATGGTGGGAGAGATGACATATTGCCTGAAAGTAAACATTCATAACTCCGTATCTAAGAAGCATGGACACGGATACGACACGACACGGACACAGCGACACGGCAAATCCAAAAAAATTAGAACACGGACACGGCGAATAGTATATATGTATATATATATATATATATCAGCATTAATAATTTTTAAAAAAAAACACTGATATGTTTAGGTTGGAATATATATATATATATCACTGATATGTTTAGGTTGGAATATATATATATATATATCACTGATATGTTAGTATATATATATATATCAGCATCTTTAGGACACGGACACGGCGAATTGTGGCATCTTTAGGTTAGTATATATATATATCACCATCTTTAGGGTAGTACAAAAAAAAAAATTAACATATCAGCATTAAAAATTTAAAAAAAAAAAAAAAAAAAATTAACATATCAGCATTAAAATTTTTTAAAAAAAAAAAAAAAAAATCCAGAAAAGTGTGTCCGAGCCGTGTCTGAGCCGTGTCCGAGCCGTGTCCAAGCTGTCCGAGCCGTGTCCGAGCTGTCTGAGCCGTGTCTGTGCCGTGTCCGAGCCGTGTCCAAGCCATGTCCGAAAATAAAAAAAAATAAAAAAATTCCAGACACGTTTTTTGGCGTGTTCGACACGTGTCGGGGCGTGTCCGACACGTGTCGGACACGGATTCTTCGCCCATTTTGGAGTGTCCGTGCTTCTTAGCTCTGTATGAACCTGGATGGATAAAGAAGTATTCATCTAGCTAACACTTAGCAGTTGGGATTAAGGTCTTGTTAAATTAGAGTTGTACAAAATCTCAAGACATAATACAGAAACAAAACATAAGTATCCAAAGTCCGCATTGAAGTATACTGCAACCACCATAGCATCAAAATCCACTACATATCAGCGTTTCAATCCTTATGTAAGAAAACCACAAGATGTATGCCTAATATTTTATGTTTCACTACCCAAAGAAACACTTTCATCCAAAGACCACCACGAATAACAAGAAGAACTAGTGATTAGCTACAACATGTATGCTTAATGTTTTATGCTTCACTACCCAAAGATATTGTTTCATCCAAAGAACACCATGAATAACAACAAGAACTTGTGATTAACTTCCAGTTGAAAAGCATTTCCTATTACTCTGTAACCTGACTGGCAAAAATTGCAAAGCACAAAAAACAAAACATAGAAAAAAAGAGACAGAAATACGAAAAGCAAATAAAATACCAAAGAGGAAACTGCAGCAACAAAGAACATTATGAGATAATAAAACATATATATAAGTAAGAAAAGAAAAAGAAAGCTTTGACAAACCAATGTGCCATTTCTAGTGCGAAAATACAATGATTGTTTATTCCAAGTCCCATGGACTTCAATACGAGCTTCACTGCCATGCAAGAGTCGCTCATCTGAAGCCAAATCAGTTGGAAGCAAATTTGAAAGAACCAAGTAAAAGCTGAAACACTTTATCCAGCATTGCCCAATGCATCGGTCTAAAACAGATCGGTATGAATGCAAATCAGCTTTTAAAATATCTAAGCACACAGTATAAGTGGGTGGAGCCAAAACAAGGCAATTGATACACTTAGAAAGGTTTGCTGCACCATAATTTCCCCTGTTTGATGACAATCCAACCTGACAATCTGCAAAGGGAAAGAATTCATAAATATGTACAGTTACGAAAGGTAGGTTTCTATATATCAAAAATGGCATTCCTACCTGCACTGTCAGATTTATCATGGTTCATATTTATGTTAGCATAATCTTTAACATGTTGCCAGGAACATTTGTCATTGTTGCATTTTCCTCGGAGCTCGTACATGCAAAGTGGCCAAAAGGGGTCAATTGCAAGATTGCAGGAGTAAGAGCCATCGTTTTTGAAACATTTATCGATCGAAGTATCTTCCATCAAGTTCACACTAAGAATTCTTGGCTGGGCTTCATCAGAGCCAACACCATTGCCCTTGCCATTGTAAATATCATAAGAGTGAATCAGCTGATTTCCGGCCTGTAATACATTTAAGCCGCTCAAGGCTTTAGCTTTCATGGGCCCAAATGCACTCCTCAGAATAGGGCTTGCAGGCATAAGGGATATTCTGGATTGGTGAACGTCTATGGAAAAAAAAAGCAGCCCAAAGGATCAGCACTAGAAAGAGATGCATAATTAGAAGAACCTTTCTGATCATGGCAGCGGTTGTTGATAGGAAGCTCATAGATATTCCCTTCCTCCCAATCAGTACCATTTTTGAACTTAATACATAAATAAATAACAGGCGAAAACAAAATAACCAACATTTTGGGTGGTAAACATATCAAGTGAGGACATATAACTGCAACTATCAGAAGCTGTTATAGTCCAGTGTAACCCTTAGTTGCAAAATGGGTACGGTATAAACCTCATGGCAAGAATAGAAGATGGTAGGGATATTTGAAGCACCAGTGTACTCTCGAACTATGTCTGCAACTTCTTTCCCAACCACCCCCACCCCAACCCCCCCCCCCCCCTCCCAAAAAAAAGACAGCGAAGCAAAGAAAAAAAGCCAAATGCAAAATAATAAATAAAAGAGACACAATCCCACCCCCCAAAAAATTAAAAAATAAAATAAAATTTGTCAAAGGAAAACAAAATAAGGAAATGAAAAGTGTCGTACAGGAAGTAAATGTCGACAACATTAAACAGGAATAGAGTACATGAAACGACATATTTCTCAAATCAAAAGATTCCTACTCTCTTTCATTTATCATCAGCAAAAATAAACAATGCTAAATACCAATTATTAATACTTTTAACACAAATTTCAATGAAGATCTCCCAAAACTTGTGGGAAAAAAAATGGGAAAGTAAAGGACCATATGGTTAAACAAAGTTTAATTTTAATATAATGAGTTATAAAATTCTTAATAAGGAACAACAGAAGACCATACTAAAAACTGACTCAAACACAACTTCCTTAAAGGAAAGTTACCTCCAAGATCAAAATGTCGGTCTTTCTCTTCTTCCGAGCATGGCATAATGCCCATACTCATCTCCATTTTTTCCCCGCCATCATCATCTTCAATCTCTTTTCCAACTGCACATTTCATGCTATGAGTTAAGCCTGTCTTCTCTGACAAAGTTTTGATTCCAAGTCTTTCGAACAGTTGAGACCTTAAGGTTGCTTCAAGAAGCAAAGAATCCTGAGAGTTATCAAAAGAGGATCTTCTTTTTGACACCTCATTCATGTCTACACTTTCTTCATAAATCTCCTCTAGCTGACAATCTGGATTGGATTGAACAGATCTATGGTCAAATGGAAATGTATCTTCACTTTCATCTCCTGAAATTTCTAAATCATTGCACGGAGAACAGACACCATTTGTCACACCATCATCCTTGTGAGGCTCTGATGTACTGGCATCAGGGTCAATGCATGGATTGGCAGCCAAATTTTGTCCATCCGCATGCCAGCCAGACCCATTTTGAAGTAATCCCTTAGCAGAATGGATATTTGAATCAGACAGATTACGAACATTGGATTCAGCCTGCATTTGATGGCTTGATGTGGGTGCCAGATGCACATTAACTTCAGACATCTTATTTGAGAAATTCAGCCCAGATCCAACATGATTGTGCAGCCTAGAGGACCAGAACAAACTCGAATCCGCCACCATAAGTGATCGAAAATCGGCTGAATATAGTTCCCTTTTTTGATAGAGATAAGAGCATCTAGCATTCGCCTCACTTAAAGCCCTTTGTGCTTTACGATAAGCTTTAAGAGCAGTTCTTTCTTCAACTTCACACTTATGCCGATACTCTTGTGCTTCCTCCAGCTCCTTGTCTAGCAATTCCTCGAATTCCAGTAATGACTGTATGTCCATGTTGCTATTCCCTGAGATGTTTACCTTACCCAAACAATCCCAGAGACTTGCATTGTTTAAAGATGCCTTCCACAAATTAAATAAAAAGCAGTCACAATCAAAACCAAAGATAAAAAAAAAAAAGTCACTACAACTAAAATACATCCAGAACATACATCTGACGTCTCTAAGTTGTTATCTGCAACGTGGAGAGAGCGTGCCAAAGGTGTATCATCCAATGTCGGCTTATCTGTCTTGTCATCAGATCTGATTTCATGAAACTGACAGCTTCCTGTTAAATTTTGTTCACGTGTTGCTTTGTTTGGTACAGAACTGGATGTATGGTGATAACTAAGACCGTTTGGACACTCCAAACCCTCAGCTCTCTGTAAAGTAACAAGCATAAATTGAAAATTAATAATACATACAGGTCAATGTTGAATACTTGAATAATTTGCATTGTAAGTTCACTTAAAGCACACTAATTTTTTGCAAAGTATATTAGCATATAATGTTGTAAGGAGCCCCGGAGCTAGCCAATACATGAATGACAAGATCCAAAAGCTTTATTAAGCATGTAGAAAATTCTTTAATTCTCACTGCACCGCAGGTGAGAGCATTGAAGCTCATCCTCACAACTCACAAGGAGATTGTAAGAGAGTCTCTCTTCCAAGATTCACTATGAGAAATTTCAGATGCGAACAACTTTTCAAAGCAAGAATCAGTATCATGCCAAGAAATAACATTACCACCACCAAAGTTGTACAAGAAATAGAAATTCAAAGCTAATTTGCATTTGGCTGCTTGTTTTGGCTTTCTGGAAATTTAGAACATGATTAGTAATCATGTCTGCATGAGATAGGAAAAGAGAGAGAGAGAGTATTCCAAATAAACATTATATTACAAAAATTCCAAAAACGAGTACCACTGCATTACTTTTACAGTTTCTGATTAAAATTAATTAAATCCCAGTACAGTTTTTACCCTACAACACCTTAGCCCTTACAAAATGACACCTCTGGCACTTAGGAATAAAAAAGAAAGAAATGACACCTCTGGTGCATGACTGGATCAGGGGAAAAATCAATAAGAAAACAAAATCTTAAGGAAACTAAAGAACAAATGATAGGAACGGATACAAGATACTCAGATCTGAGATAGATGTGAACATTATAATACAAAAGGCATTACAAATCCAGGGGGAGTTTATGAGATACATAATAAAATGGCCAAAGTGACCAAAATAACAAGTGAGCGAGAGAGCAAAAGTCAAGCTTTAATGCCTGCCTTCGGAAAAAATAAATAAAAACCATGACTGACGTTTATCCAACCACTCACATTTTGGGCAGTTGACACAGATATAAATGAAAAGAAAAAAGGAAATATACACTAACCAGCTTGTCAAGCAATGGCCTCGAGCACAAAAAACAATATCTTACACACGGGGGAAGGGAGTGAATTACTGATGTTGATCTTGTTCAGCTAGCAAATACTTAAAAAGAAAAAGGCAATGGGTTGAGAAAAGGAATTATGGCACCATCATTGCTCTGAGCATCTTGTAGGTAAAGTGGGAAAAAAATAACAAAAAGCACAGCTTGTAAACTTTGAGCCTTGCTGGAGTCTGGGTCATCTATTTACGAAAATTAGAAGCAAAAGAAAAATAACTAAATAAGGTTCCACAAAGATTTCATAAATAGCTAGTTGGTTCTATAAAAAATATATATATATTATTAAAAACTACCAAAAAATATGTTTTTCCCCAAAATGTACATCATTTGGCTCCTACAAACAAAAAGCTGTAAACAAAAATGCAACCCAAAACTAATCTGGAGAGACAAAAAAAAATAACAAAAATAGATGTTAATGTTGCATACAGATCAAGTATTAGGAGTTCTAGTTTAATCTATGATTCATAGATGAGTAAATCCTATTCCCAAATATCGCCATCTTTCTGCAAATCTGTAAGTTATTACAAAAAACATATGTATTTATGTATGAGAAATCTAGGGACTGTGACCCAAGGCTCTGATACCTGGACAGGGGAAGAGGGGAAGGTGGTTGAACAGGTCTCTTGCACACTTTGATAATTTTTACTGAATTTCAATTTGAACAATCAACTGAACACTGATTTTTAAGTGGAAGACCTCAATGGGAAAATATCACAAGGCCTAGTCCAAACAAATCAAATGTACAATGAGAAAGAGATTTACCCTGGGGTTAAGAGCTCCCAAACCCTGGAACCCCTAGTTGCCTCCAAACACGGATCTAATCCACCAAACTCTCACCCAGTTTCTTCAGGCACACAGTCCTTCATCAATAGAACTGTATCTCATGTGATTCGCTTCTTTAATCCATGATTTTATTATGATCAGTGGACCAATCCATTGATATGGAGGTGTTATGGTTGACTAATCTTCAAGTATTCGATGAAACTTCTTGGTTTAGAACACAATCACTCAATATAACAAGGTATTCTATGAAGAACCTCACTTGTGATTAAAAAAGGAGCTCTCAACCTCTCTCACAATTGTGTAATTGTCTCTTATGATTTTCTGGTGTATAGACTATGGAGGACCCTAAGACACTTTTTTATAGTGTTGGAATGACTAAAAATTCATTAGGAATGTTTTGGATGAGGGGGGAAAGTTTAGAAGCCTTTACTAACTTTAAAACACATTTTTTATTGACTTTGGGAATCAATGTATCAGCACCTTCTGGGTTTTTCTCGTCTGATCAAGCTTTTGGTCAAATTATTCTGGTGTGACATCAATCGATCGAGATTCAGATTCAATTGATTGAACTTTACTGCTGAACCTGACTACACAGCATAATTTCAAATGATGCTTTGTTAAGGGGTCATATGGATTAGAAATTAGTCAATAGTCATATATTAGTTGGAAAGTTTGTTGAATCTAGTTTATAAATATATAGCTCATTGTGAAATTTATATCTAATTATTTTTCGAAGGCATAAAGGTTAAATTTTACTACTTGAAATCCTCACCAAAATCAACTGTAAAATTCAACCTGAATTCAAAATCCTAGTTTTCTAACCAACATTAATGTTTCTAAATTCATTCCCATTTAAACACTATCCAACATTAAATTTTAATTATATTAAAACTAATCAATAATTAGATTTGAATTTAACTCCAAATTCACTCAAGTTTCCTAAATTATTCACTTTGAATCCTATGGTCTCATAAATTTACTTACCTTCTTTGTATTGTGTGATTGATGAAAGTAAAAGTAAAATGTTGAAGCAATCCTTCGGCTTAGTCTTCAATCTACAATCAAAGCTTCAATGTCGATCCATACCTTCCACTAAAGTGACACGACATATAGAACATAACTTTTGCTCACGGAATATAACCACAACACGTTTTCCTAACAATGTGTGTTTAAATAAATAAAAAAAACATATAGTAGCAAAGGTGACAATAGTAACTGTGTAATAAATTTTTTGATGAAAATGACACTTTAGAGGTAACTGAAAATAACTTTTTGCAAACATCCAAACTAAGAGTCTGTCATGCCATTTTTTTCCCAGCAGATGTGTCCCACATACAATAGAATATAAGAAATCTCAACCAAAATACAGATTGCACTGGTTTCTTTGGAAAAGGTTCGGTGTTTCTATTTACCAGGCATGCAATTTGTTGTGACAGAGTATAAGGCTCCACCAGCTTAGTATTCCTGTCACACCGACTTCTATTAGTGATGACGTCAGTACCTGCACAACCAAAAACACCCATTCATTAGACACCTCAGCGTAGGTAAAAGAAAATTTCTCCCTAATTTTTTTTCTTTTTTGAAGGACGGTTGGAAAGTGGGTAGAGTTAGTAAAGAAATATTGTTTGGACATGTGCAAAGAAGACCTTTAAGTGTGCCGGTTAGGAAAAGTGGCATAGTCCACATTGAGGGTAATACTAGGGGAAGAGGAAGACCAAAGTTAACGTGGGTAGAGTTAGTAAAGAAAGATATGATAGCATGTGGATTGACTGAGGCTATGACCTTAAATAGAGCAGAATGAAAATATGGGATTCATGTAGCTGACACCAAATAATTGGGAAAAGGCTTGGTGGTGGTGGTTGTTGTTGGTGGTGGTGGTGGTGGTGGTGGTTGTTGTTGGTGGTGGTGATGGTTGGAAAGTGCAGGACAAACAAAAAGACACACACACCAATGTCCCAACATCCCAACTGGGCGACTTGAACCCTGCACCTCCTTATGGGATGGCAAGAGATACGCCAAAGCTAGGTGGTGGTGGTCAGCGTAAGATAAATTTAACAGGAAATAAATAAATAAATCACCATCTTGCACCCCCTTTGACAGATTTGCTGAAGATACATGGCCCCGGTCAACATCTTTCTTTGGCCATTGAGGAATGTTCGAGTGCATTGTCCCCAATAGAACTTCTTTGTCACGGCACCTATGATCATTTATATTCTGCTGAGCACAGCTCTCCAACACAGACTTTTGAGATGCCAATGCCGATGTTATAACAGGCAATTCTTGTTGGTCTTCTGAAATTGACGGGCTTGAATGAGGTTCACCGACTTTTACACGCTTCTTGTCCGGCTCTTTTGGTTCAAACCGTACAAAGTCAGAAGAAGTTCCTTCACATTTCCTAGCTGCATCATGTTTAATTTCATAAAGTTATAATCCCTGCATAAACTTTTTAGACACCCCCATTTTCACCACCGCCTTTAAAAAAGGAAAAGAAAGAAAACAGTAAAACACAAGGAAAAGATAAAATGTCAAATTTTACAGGAGGTCTCTTCCGTTTTGCAAGTTCCATTTTTGCCCCAGATTTATGACCACTCAAATTTGGCTCCAGATTTATCCAGAAATGACAGTCGAGCCATAAAAGTTTCATTGATTACAAAAATGCCCACAACGCATTAATATGTGCATTTTTGGCGGGAAATGCAAAAAATGCATCATCTGTTTCACTTTGGCAGCTGTCATTCCCATCCTCCAAGGGCCTAAGCACCTCATAAATGTCTACGATCTGTGTTGAGTAAAGTTGACCAGCTGAAATGCATCAAGACACGGGTTTGGTTTTGACAGGGCATCAAACTGAAGGCCAATCATCTACATTTCATCACCATCATTCTCACCTTCTATCCCAATCATCTCCATTTAATGCCAAAATTTGTGTCAAAAAAAATTGACCATTAATAAGATGAAGTGTTGTTTTTGCGAAATGATGCCAAAATTAGTCTAAATCTTCCCCCAAAGAAAACCATTAAATTGAAACAGTCCAAAAACAAGTTCTTATAACCTTTCATGGACTTCATCCCGCCACACCTTCAAGTATGGCTACCACGAGCAGAGGATTTCTCGGTGCATTCCCTACTATCTAGGATTTATTAATAAGTTCATTTTCCTAAAAGAGCTGCGAGTGACATGCAACGCATTATGTGAGCGAAATATGGAAGTGAAAATGCAACCATTTTCAGTTGGAAGAAGAATGAATCTAATGCAGACGGCATTTACTTTTTTAATGTTCCTAGAAACAAGTCCTGGTTGACAAATGATGCAACCAAATCCCAAAAATCCCAAAACCCATCAAAAGAAACCTGTATGTGGTATTGCACTTGTTTTCCAAGCTCTACTAGAAACTTATTCATGAGAAGGATGATTAAGGAAGCACAAAATCCTACAATAGCTTAAAAGAAAAGAAAATGTATGAATGCTCTTTTAGGTACTTAGAGAAAGGCAAAGGTAACCAGGGAACTTACAGGAAAAAAAAAAAAAAAATGTCCTACAACTAAAAGAGGCATGGATACCAAAAACGGATATGGATAGGACATGACACAGACACAACAACATGACAAATCCTAAAAATTTAAGACATGGACACGGAGGAGACACTGTGAATCGAAATTCTATATTTTTTTATGTGATAATATATCATAGAAGATTAATATAACTTTCATCAAATTAATAAACAAAAATCCAAATCACAATAATTAATGAACTACAACAACAATTCCATTATTTAAGAAGAGAAAAAAGAAAAGAGAATGGGTTGAAGTATAATTCCTGAACTCCCTTTATTTATTGTAATCCAAATCCATAACTAAACAAAATATTATGGTTAATTGGCTGACGTAGAATTTCTTCACCCTTTCTCAATTAGGACTTCGTTGAAAAAAAGGAAAGAGAAATCTATTAAGAGAGAGATAAAATCAACTACAGAAAGAAAAAAATAAAGAAATAAGGAAAAGTATGGTTTTGTTGAGAAAAAAAATGGCACTTTGTTGATAATAAAAGAGAGACTACGTAGAGGAAGAAAGGGGCTTGTAAGATGAAGAAGATGACAAAAAGAAAAGGAAAAATTGGACAGAGAGAGAGAATTTATTGAAGGAGGAGGTTCGCTACCATTCAAGAAGTTGCAAAAAAGAGCAAGATTCTTACAATTTTCTCTTTGTGATCTTTCACAATCTCAAAAAAGTAATAACCATAGAATGATCAAATAAATAAAATGTGTTGACGAATTTATTTGAAAAACTTTTTATTATTTTATGTTTTGACCTCCATATTCTTGAAAATTTTCAAAAAATTCTACATCAACAACAACAAAGCCTTTTTCGCAACTACTTGGAGAAAAATTTCTACTTTATATTTTGACCCATCATTTGTCCAAAAAGGAAAAAAATTCAAACATATTTTTGGCATGTCCAACAAGTGTCGGGCAATGTGAGTGTTTCACACGTGTCAAATACAGACACTTCGACCTTTTAGGCGTGTCCGTGCTTCCTAGCAGCTAGGACCATGAAAAGCTTCTTAAAAGTTTTTGGATATTTTATGATTCAGTTGCTTCATCCATCAACCTACTTTAAGAAACTATACATGCGAGGGTTAATGTATGAAGCAAATAAGTCATAAATATCCAAAAGCCTATAATATAAAATAAAATAAGAGCTTACTATGGTCCTAGGATCTGTTTTACTGTAATTTTCAAACTTTTCTTTTCTCTAAATACCTAAAAAGGCTCTGCCAGTCACTTTTCCTCGTTCATTACATAGGTTAAATCATGAACACTGCTTAATGTTCCATGCTAATCCTTTTCTTTTCTTCTCATTATTCAAGTGCCAAAAAATATTTCTCAATATATATACATGCCTAAAGAAGTAAGGTTTGAAATCCACCAAGTGTTACCCAGTTATTTTCTCATTTTGTAAGCGTCTTAAAATAAAGTTACAACCAGCATTAACTTTGATCTTATTCTTGATAAGGAAAAAGTCAAGTCATCACTACCACATGTTCCGTATCCACTTTTCATTTTTCAAGTGCCCAAAAGGACAACATTAATTCCAGTAATTTTGGTTTTGTTCGTGGTAATAAAGTCAAAATAACAAGTGTTCCCCGTGCATTTTAACTTTCCAAGTTCCTAGAAGATAATAAGTCCAATATTAACATTCATCTTGTTCTAGATAAGAGAAAAATCAAGTCAACACTACTAAATGTTCCAAAATTCACTCTCTCTCTCTCCAAGTGACTGTTAGGAGCAAAAATAAACCCGATATTTGCTATATGCTCTAATTCTCAATGAGAGTGAAAAATCAATGCTAGTGTTCTATATTTACCTTTTCATTTCTCAAGAGTAACTATGGTCTTATTCTTGACACAGGCAAATATAAAATTAAACATTATAATATTTAACACTCTTTTCTATTTTTCTTTCACTCGCCAAGAAGATTAGGATCAAGAGGTCGCATTCCATGCATCAAACCAGTTAGCATATAAGAGCTACCTTTGCAAACATTTGCTACAAAATCCAAGTATATTAACAAAAAATAATAATAAATATAAAATTCCTTTGTTATTGACCATTAATGATATTAGACATGAAATAAACACAATCCTAAAAATTGGACTTCACAAAGTTCATGGTAATGAATATGATAACCTGTATTATGGATGTTTTGGGATGGCTAAAAACACCCAAATCATGAATGAGCCCCAAAATCCAAAACTTTAGTTAAAGTGGACTAATTATAAAATTAACCTTTATCAAGAACCCTTGTTAAAAGTTAATTAGTTTCCCACATTAAGGAAAATAAAAGTTCTCGAACAATACTTTTCACTAGATAGCTAATACACCTTCTCGACCCAATGTTAGCCAGCCAGAGGCAGTTACCAACAAAGGCCCCAAGGCAACCTCAAAAGTAAACATTGTCACAAACCTGAGAACATTTCTTTATTTTGCTGGGCTGACTTGAGCTTCAATTTTTTCTCCTGAATTGCTATCTGCTGGCGTAAGTCTTGAAGTTTACTGCTATTCAAATGCATGCTCTGGTCACCTCCATGTCCCCGGCCAGCTGATTTTCTGTTGAGGGTATTAAAAGTTCTTAAACGAGATCTTTGTCCAACTAATGAGGGTGTACTGTTGCTGGAAGTGGCTCTATTAGTTTTAGCCATTGAGGAGACAAATGTGTGACTCGAAGACACTTTTTTAGGTATCACTTTCGTCTCATTTCTTGTGGTTGGTCGTAATATTTGCGATTTCTCCATCAATGAAGGGAGTGGACTTGTTCTATCATCCACTCCAATAGAGTTGCCTGTGATTTTTAAAGCTTTTCCTAGTCTGTACTCTTCAGAGTCACTACCGCTGTCATCATCTGAGAATCCTATCAAAAATGGCACAAATGGCCCTCGATTCTTCCCAGCACTCTTGCCATAATTCCGCTGCACAGTAGTTTTGGAAGTTATATCAACAGCACTGGCAGGATTAACGGTAGAAATAGTCGTCCCTGCAAAGTGGGTAGGAACCATCAAAAGGCAAGTTCAATACGATTTTTTTATAGGCACAAATTCAGTAACATATGAACTACTTTACAATTGAAGGAAGAAAGCATTGCTAAGAAAAACAGCAATAAAATTAGACATCACTGAGTGTAGCTTAATAGATATATAAAAGCAAATGAACCAAAACTCAGCATTAGGGGGAATGATTTTAAGATCATCTCAAACTCTAACCATGTCCACTGTTTAATTGCCAGAAGCTAGCGTCAAAGTGCACATGCGCATAATTTAGATATGGGAATAAATAAGTCCCAAATTTTAATTAGAAAATATTGTCATCATTCTTGTTCCAATATCTGAAATTCATATATGTATTAAAAATCTTTATGCAGTAGATATCATCATGATTCATTAATGGCAAGGCAAAGACAAGATCAACTATAAACATGTCTGGGCATGTTTTGTAGCAAAAGCAGGAAATGGGGGGGCACTGATATACAAATGATCCAACCACTAGGTTAGCAACAAAAAATAAATCAACTGTTCAAGTGCATATATTATTAGGTAATGGCTAATGACACTCACCTGCCTCAAGACTTCGGGAGTTTTTTTTCAACGAAGCAGCTCTAACAGGCACTGGTCTAGGAGCAGTACTGTTGAACTGAGAAGCAGCGGGAAACCCCTGTGGAGTCAAGCTCACTCATTCAGGATTGCAGATCAAAACCAATATAAATTGACAAAGTAAGGTGAATCTAGAAACACCCAACAAAAATTGATACTAGAAAGGGATTAAATATAAATGGAGTATAAACCCATTCAGATCCATAAGCGTAAAACATGAAAAAGTATAATCAAGTAAGAACAGACCAAACCCTATTCTGTAAGTTGAAATGGCTTCGAACAAGTAAAAGTATAATCAAGTAAGAACAGACCAAACCCTATTCTGTAAATTGAAATGGCTTCGAAATCATTAAAAAAATAATAATAATAACCCTAAACACCAGATATTAACCGAACTGTAAATGCAGATTCAGCAAAAACCAGTACAACAAGGAAAGAGATGAAAATGTGACATAAAGTAAAAATCCCTAAAAAAAGACACAAACAGAAATAAACCAAAGAATACAGAGAACAGTGAAGAGCCTCCCACATACATAGAGATGCAAAGACAGGCACGTACACGATCAATATCATCATATGACAACACGAATCACAGTAGAAAAACAATCTTTCATGAATTAGGGTTTTGGAAGGAATTACATCGTCGCCTGATGAAGAGAGCTCGCCTTCTTCTTTGCTTTTAGAGCAATTGTTGTCGGCCTCTGAATTAGGGATTGCTGTGGTGGGCATGGATGCTGCAGATTTTGCTCTAAGCTCATGGCCATCCTCCATTCTCTCTCCCTCTCTCCAGCTTGTCTCTCTTCAGTTTCTCTATCTGAGTTGGAGGTAAGGACTCTGACGAAATAGAGAAGAAAATGCGGAGTGACTTGTCTGAAAATACTGAAACGTCCTTGGTTCCACGGTCCACCACGTACTTTTTTGGACAATTAAATCCAGTTTGGTTCAAGAGAATGGGATGGAAAAGGAATTTAGGAAAAACTATTCCTTCCAAAAAAGGAAAATGTAGAAGTAAACAAATTTTAATTAAAAAATTCACTGGATATGTTCACGAACATATACAAAATACAGCTCAGCCCTTTAATGTAAATAAAGTTTAGTGATAAGTTCAATAATTTTTTTTTTATTGTGTCTCCTTTTCAACATATTTAGTTGTTAACATTAATTTTCTGTTCTTTTCTTTTCTTATGTTAATCAACCAAACACACATGTATTTTTTTTCTCTATTTTTACCACATAACTCATATTGTTCAATATTTTTCTTTCCCTTTTTTCTACATCAAACATAACCTAATAAGATAATTAAAATCCTTTGAATTAAAACTTGTATTTAATGGAGTCAGAGGCCTAAGAAAGCCTTAAGCAGTCTTGGCCAACATGCTTTATAATAAGTATTTGCTTTATTTTTACTTTTGTTTGATGTATTTGTTTACAAAATCATTTTTGAATAGAAAACTTTTTGTTTGATATGATGGGATTTGATGGAGTTTTGAATTTAAAATGAAATTTCTAGTGTTTCTAATCAAAGGAATTTAAAACGAAATTGGATTTTATGGGATTTGAAATCCCAAATTACAACTACCTCAAATCCCATGAAAATTTGTGGAATTTGATAGGATTTGTAAATTAGATTTAGTTTTAGGTATGTAACTTTACCAACTTGGCCTTCTTTTTTCCATAAACACAAGATTAAAATCAAAATTAATAAAAATAAAATGATAAAATATTATTTCTTTTATAATTAAATCCCAGTTGATTCCAAACACTGGAATGGAATTTCATTTCAAATTGAATCCCATTCCTTCTCCTTTTCTGTTTCCAATTCCAAATCCCAAAAGAATTTGGTTGTCCTGATTTAATTTTTCTCAAATTGTTTCTCCAAGAATGTTCACGGTTTCTGCAACTTCTTGAAATAAAAATAATAATAATAAAAATAAAAACCACATGTGGGACTTTGAACGAGTTGTTTAGTTTTGCCACAAAAACAACTTTATTTGAGAAGAGGGTTAGGGAGTATCTAAAGCCTTCTATGGCGGTTTTATTGAGCACATAGCAACCACTTATTTAAGCTTGAAGAAGATCTATGATTTTAGTTACTTTCTTCTATTTGACTATATTGTTTCTTTTTCAATAAGTTTGAAAGCATGCATCGAAATAATTAACAAACATGATTTCTGAAATCATTGGTTCCGATCAATTGTAAGGTGACATGTAAACAAAAAAAAACAAATAATCCCCCAAGACTATATAATGATTTCCCCTTCTTGGGTAGGTTTAAAGGTCTCTCTTCGCACACATATGGCTGCCTAATCTCAATGGTCTTTCCAGCAACCTGTGCCATACCTACAGTCCTTACTGTTATGATTTTATACACATGTAATAGCCTCTCTAGTTTTGCAAGGTGATTCACCGTCTCCTGCAACTTCCTTTTTACATTCCTTCTTTTCCAATTGCAAAGATTCACCATTTGCTACCGGTCTATTTCGCAATCAAAAATGTTTTGTGTTTTTGTTTTCATTCGAAATAGACAACGTTTTTGTTGTGGAATGTGTTTAATAGTGATTGGAAACATATTTAATAACCTAAAATTTGTTGAATGATTTTTTTAAGTAAAAATATGAAAACATATTTGGTAAAAATGTATTGTAAATTTTTAAGGCACTGTTCATCGTGATAGTGTTTGTTACTACAATAAGAAAACAATCGAAAACATTAATTTGGTAAAAGTTTGTTTCGCTATAACTATACAACATTTACAACAAAAACACGAAAAAGAAGCCAAAAAACTTGTAACTAAAGTTATGTTTGGTTGGAGGGAAGGATTGAGGAGGGATGGATGAGAGGGGGAATAAACTAACTTTTTCGTATTTGGTTGAAGGGAAGGGAAAAGCGGGAGGAAGCAAGGAGGGATGAAGGCTTCATCCCTCCTTCATTTGTATTTCTTTATCCGCCCAAAATTGGGAGGAAGAGGAGAGAGAAAGAAATAATAACTAACACAAATATCAATTTTTCACTTCTAACCTTTCTAAAAATTTGTGATAGATATAGAATTTTTAAATACTGAGGTCATATTAGTAAAAAGAATATAAAAACCCTATTTCCCTTCCTTCTAACCAAACAAAAAAAATATGTCACCACATCCATCATTTCTACTATACATTCTATTCAACCAAACAAAAAGTGAAAGAGACACCTTCCATTCCTTAGGGATGCCTCATCCATCCATTCCCTTATCCATTCCATCCATTTTTTCATCCCTCCAACCAAACGAAGCATAAATGTAAAAATTTTAGAATTAATTTCAATGACATCATTTAAAATTTGGTCAAATCTCACGTAAAGACATATTTTGAAAATAAATATCACTCAAAATTATAGAGTTTAGTCCATTTTTCATTTACATTCCAAACTCACTCTTCAGTCGTATCATGACACTTTTTGCACATAAAATGACATTATTAACCTTTTGATTTTGTGTTGACTTAGAAAATAATTGTTTGATGTTTAAAATGACATTTATACCCCATTAGATTGCCTTATATGTAAAGGTGTATATAGAGTCATATGTCCATCAGTAATCTAACAGCTACGAATGGAGGGTCAACTTACTTTTGCATCCCACGGCTACAACAAAATTATGAAGTAAAAGATGGCCTTTTTGTATATGTATTATTATAGGAAAAAAAAAATACCGTAAAAATTACGTGTCTCTAACTTTTCCATTTAGAGTATATGGCCCTGTGTGGCTAAGCTTCCTGAGGGCTTACTCCTAAGCCCAAAAAGGCATTCCTTCAAAAAAAAAAAAATTTGAATGGGATGGGCTTTTAACAAAAGTGGAAGTCATCAAAAGCCTGTTAACCAAAGCTACAAATACATGCTTCCAATATAGGGCTTCTCAAAACATGCAAAATATGAGTTGTTGCTATGAAGCACGGACACTCCTCCCAGGGGCCCCGTACCAGTGTCGGATATTTTTCGAACACCGACACCCGTATCCGAGGCTCGAACACGTATCCGACACTTCTGTAAAGTGTTCAAATATTATTTTTTATTGGACACGCGTATCCGAGACTCTGACACACGGTCCGACACTTCTATGAGACATAATTTATTTTCTCTCACTCCTCTCAGTCTCTCCTCTTCTTCAATTATCTCTCTTCACGAACAAGATATATATATATATATATATATATATATATATATATATATATATATATAAAAGTTACATAAACAAAACTTTGTAAAAGACTGAAAGTATATATGTTTATTCATATACATATTTAGTTCATTATAGCTATGTCTATTCTGCACATTTTCGTTTAGAATTTGGATCAACTTTATTTTTCATTTATTTTCTGTTTTGTCTTGTCTATATTTTTCTTATAACAGAGATGAAATTATTGAAATTGATTTTGTTCTTTATTGTTATTTTATTTATCTGTACAAGATTCTAGTAATTATATTTTGAATATATAATTATATATATATATATATATATATATATATATATAAATATAATTTTATAGGCGTATCCCCGCCGTGTCCGTGTCCTATTTTTTTGAAATTTGCCGTGTCGCCGTATCCGTGTCGTGTCGTACCCGTGTCCCGTATCCGTATCCGTGCTTCATAGGGTTGTTGGAATATTATAAGATTACTATTTTATCCTTAAATATTGATTACATTGCCTATATTAACCTTTATTGTTTATTGAATTACAACCTTTGTTTTTCTGTACAACACACTACATCAGGAGTCCCTCATCCTCCTTCCTCTCTCTTATATCCCAGTTTGTTTGCCGGCATTGTTATAATTGATGGTGACCGCTACCACCTCCAGCCGATTGGTGGAGTTTTCAAAAAATTAAAACAGTGCAACCTTATTCGGATTTAGGCATTAAGTTTTCTTTGTTGGCACCACCAGCCGATTGGTGATGCATCACCTCTGTGCGTCGCCATGGATTCCATTGACCAGAAAATAAAGAATCATGTTTAGATTTATTTATTTATTATTTCTTTTTTGTTGGGTGTGAACATGTGCTTTGCTTGATTTTCCCTTTTTTAGCCTCTTTGATGATAAAATTAAAAAAAAAAAAAAAAATGACTTAGAAATGGGGGGAGTTAATATATATATGAGAAGGGTTTGAACTAACGCAAGTGTGTTTCATGGTAATGGTGCATTTATATGACTCTGGTGTAAACTGTGACCCGAAAGAGGTAGCTTTGATGTGATATTTTCGTTTGAGATGGACTTGCACCAAATTAAGATTAACATGGAGATGAATAATTATGGAGTTATCCAAATCTAAGGGAAAATGATTAATTGTGTATTTTTATATGTATATACTTGTATCTTATAACTTGTAATGCTGCATATACTTTCTCTCATAATTGGTTCTCCAATACATGGTGTTCTTGTTCAGGAAATGTGAGGATAACATTGTCACTTTAAAAATATTAAATTATGTGGTTGAAATTATTTCTTAATTCAAAAGGACTTTAAAAATTAAATATACCAAACATATTTTTTGATTTAAATTCCTTTTATCGAAAGTTCTTCTTCAAGGACTTTCTTAGTAAATGACTTCTTGGCATCAAGAAGCTCCCCCAAACAGGGCCTATATCTTTGGCAAACAAAATCACTTTGCAACAATAACAGAAGACATTAAAAACAAAAACAAAAAATATTTTATATATTTTTACCTAGAGAATTTCATTGCTGATTGCAAATTTGGTTTCAGTACTTTGTAATTGTAAAATTATGATTATTATATATAATATATATTTATATTATAATTTATATCAATACTATATAATATACGCATTCGCAAGTGATCAGATGAAAACATTAATATAT